CTTTTTTTTTTTTTTTTTTTTTTTTTAGGTATAGTAGGTTTGTGTATGGAATAATTTATCCACTTGATGTCCATTTTAAAGGTTGTATAGATAAAATTATGTTATTAGCTAATTATAAATTTCATAGAACAGCTTCATGGTATATTTTTAAATGGTTTTTTATATAAACGTTGCTACTGCAGCCCTTAGGAATGGCAGTCCTTGTTCCATTTGCTCCTGTTCACACTTGGCTTTCCCTGTCATTGCATGAGCACTGGACGACATGGTAACACCGCTGTTTTAATCACACAGTTCTGGTTCAGGAATCCAGAGCGGTGGTTCAGTGCGCTCGTGTGATGCTCTGTCACGGGGCCTTGGAGAGCACAGTCCAGAGGTCATCCTCCCCGGGAGCACCACCGCCAGGTTTGCAAATAGCAGCTTAAGAAATCTGATGTGAAATCCCCAGGGTGTCTGGTATGATTTTCTGACTGGTGAGGCCGGGCTTCTGCTATAGGACTGTTTCCTCCATAATCTTTCCCCATGTGCCTCAGCTTTGGAAATCGGTGAGGTAAGTTCCTTTTACTGAAAAACACTGCAGGTGCAGTGTTTGGTACCTAGTTTTGTAGATAAATAATTCTATGGCTTCCGATATGATCTGTTTTAGGTATCTTCCTTGACTCAAACGGAGCACTGTGTATAAAACTGTATTAATAAATGTATGAAACACCAGGTTTTGGAGACAAACCTAGAATCACACAAAGAATAATTTAGATGTAGAACATTTAAATATTACAAGACTGATCTGTAATTCCTCTTCATGATATTTGGGGAAGAATATTTTATGATTTTTGTTTTAAAAAACACATCTAATTATTTCAGTATCCCAATATTTATTATCTCTGACTGTTTTTGAAAGATTGCTTTGAGCAGAGAAAGAAATTCTATACTGTTCTAATTTTGTGTGAAAGTTTTATGTTGCAAGAGAGAATTGTTTCTCGAAACCAGTTGTGATTTTGTTTGTAACTAAATGGGTTCTTCATTTACTTATGCTTTTTTTAAAAAAAAAAAACTTTTTAGTTATCCATCTATCGCTTTCCTAAATACTTAACTATGAATTATTACTGAACACAATTTTGTAATTTTTTTAGCCATTTCATAAAAAGAGAAGACATGCAGTACATATTTAGAACCCCTTACCAGTGTCTAGCTGTGGTTTAACGGATGGCTTTATTAATACCGGATCCAACTCCACAGCCTCACCACCCTGCCACAATGGGCTCAGGAGTCAAAATATGAACATGCTGGTCAAGTGTTTGTAATAAATCATGTGTCAGCTCTTTCAACTAGAGTACTTTTTTCCTAAGTAAACAATATAATTTGTGCAGTTTTCCTTCAAGTTTAATATTAACTTGCCTCATATGTTCTGTGTTACTTTGCTGATCTCTACACTGGCTTTAGCACTCTGGAGGGGGTGCAGAACTTGTTGGTGGAAAATCACATTAAGCCTCAGATTCATAAGCTATAAAATAAAAGACAGTTGTCTCTTGTGGAATTTTTGGCTGCCTGAAATGCTGGACTTTCTTGTTGGCAGCCTTCAAAACACTGTTGTAAATCAGTACCAAATGGATATCAAAATTCCATGTCCTACTAGTAATCATTGGATTGGCTTCCAGAACAGATTCCTGGACAAATAAAGGGGGGAAAGCTGTATCTTTAGGGATTTGGTCATTTCTGAGTTTTTAAAAAGACTGAAATGTGTTATACACTCCTGGCAGCCTCGGGTGTACACTTTTAGTCTGGAGTAGATGTCCAGTGGAGACAGGGATATTGTTCTTCTGTCCTCTCCGTTTTTACCACAGCTGTCTCCTAGCTGTACTTTTTAGAAATGTGATGGGTGAAAATTATTAATTTTAAAGTTATCTCTATACAGTCATACACTTTGTCATTTTTTCTTCTTTTGCCACTTTATACATTAAATTTTTTAAAGCAAGATAAAACTAATGATCTAAGATAATGATTCATTTCAAAGTAATGAACTATAAGTTCATTGGGTTTATTTTCAGAGTGTTTTATTTGTGTGCCACCTCTAGGAGGGTGAGATGGTAAGAGCATTCTCTGCAGGACAGAATCCAGATCAGTGGAACGGCAGAAGTGTGCATAGTCCCACATCAGATGTTCCAGTGGAGTTTCGCTCATTAGATAAAGAGAAGGAATGCGGCAAAGATGACAGAGAGAGAGAGAGAGGATTCACTCTGAAAAGCTGTATTCTAGGACACAAGAGGGAAGCACATGAAGACAGGGGCAAGGACTTATAAAAAGTAATCCTTACCACGTGAACATTACACTGAAACACCCTCCCACCAGGGGCTAACCATTCTGAAGAATCTCCCTCTCCTCCCTCCTTTCTGTTCTTCCTCTTCCATTGTCTGACAATTTAGATTCATCAAGTACATTGACCATGAAAATTTGCATTTAGTTTCTGTTTTTTTTTTAAGGGAGTGAATGTCAGAACAAGTAGGAATGGCTGTGCGCATTGTTTTCTGCCCTACCCAAGTATGCCTTTGAGAATGCCCATTTTAAGTAGTTGACTGTGGACTTATAATTTTTTTAAAAGGTCAGAGTTGGGACAAAACATGGATGCAAATCTTTTTATTAAGGATTAATTGCTTGATGGTTATGATCTTATTTTCAAATACCACATTTTGCATAACTTTTGAAGCACAGCATAACACAGGGCACAGTCAGTAGTTCTTTCTCAGTCAATTTTTCCTTGACCTCAAATGATATAAGTTCTTTTGATTTCATGTAGATGAAAGAAATGTGTTTATTAGAAGCAGAATTATGGCAATCTTAGATGCAGTCGCAAATGTCTATAGTATCAATCTATACCTTTCTCTTTGTTATAAACTCAGCACTTGGCTATCTGATGACAATTAGCACTTCCTACTGTTTTAGTTGACATAGCTTTACACATTTCACCCGATGCGTTTGTTAAACCAAAACTGTGCAGTGAGTAATAGCGGGGGGAGGCATGCCAAATAAAGAGCAGATGCCAGACGTACATCTCTTGAATGAGAAAGCATTATTTTGGTTAGAAAACTAAATAACTGAATTTTGTTAGATAGTCAACCCTCGGGGCAAAGGCCTGGTCATGACTTGTGTTATGAAGTACAGATGGTTTTTAGAATGAATGAGTACATGTGTGAATGGGCGTGAAGGGTGCTATGCTACAAGCCTTCAACCTGTTAAGTGAGTATTCTGACATAGTTCTGAGATTTTAGCCAATTACAGGGCAGAAAGCAAATGCAAATATCTTACTGGAATATTATAGCCTATCTTAGAAAAGGCCTGAACTTCCTCCTGGATATGGTTTGTCTTATCTTCCTCTGCCCCTTATTATATCCATATGTTTTTTTAAAAATTTTAGATACAATAGACAAAAGCTACACATGACTTTCAGAAACATTATTTGAGACAGCAGCGTGACATGTCCAAGCACATTGGTTTAATTCTAGGTCCCGTAATAAAACATAACTTCCCTATGCTTAGCAGAAGCTATATCAGTGTGGAGAAGATAACTGTTCAGAATGTTCACGTCAAAATTTGTTAAAATGTTCAATGTTTTTGAGCCCCAAAAGCAGGCATCACCAGCTCTTCACCTCCCAAAGGAAAAATCTAACCTTAGCATGTAAACTTCACCAGGCACTACTGGGGGTGACCATCAAATGAGGGGGAAGTGACAGAGAATCTGCTTTGTACATAAATACAATCACTGAAAGAAAAAGTGTGCTGGACCAAGGACCTTCGTGTTCCAGACATAACCAAAGCCCCAATAAGTAAAGTGCAGTGAAGGCTGAATTCAACTTCATATACACAGCAAAAGGGAAAATATTTCTTGGATACAATTTGGAGAAGAAAGCACAGAAAGTTAAAGTTCAAACAGGTTGTAGTTGTAAATATTTTGCAGAAATAAGAGAATATGGGTCCTAGAGCCATGAATTCAGGAATGGTTTTCTGGTCTGCCACTATCACTACAATGTAACATCTTAACATGTAATAAGACTATCTCAAACAGAAGAAAAAGATAATAACTACAATATGTTTTAAGCAAAGATACAAGTCCTGAATTATGTACTGATGGACAGAGCAAAGGCCAATAAAGGTTGTAACTTAATATTTCAAATGTAAAAGAAATTTAAGAAAATCATAAACACTACAAAGGCTCAGTAGTCAGAAAAATTTAGAGAAGAAAAATTACCCAGTACAAGATATTAAAAGAAAGACATGACTCACTGCAGGCCAATCTCCTTAATGAATATAGATGCAAAAATCCTTAATAAGATACTAGCAAACAGAATACAGAAGATCATCAAGAAGATCATCCTGACCAAGTCAGATTTATTACAGGGATGCAAGGATGGTTCAACATATGCACGTCAATAAATGCAATACACTATATTAACAGAGTCAAGAACAAAAACCATATGATCCTCTCAATAGATGCAGAAAAAGCATCTGACAAAATTTAACACCCATTCGTGATGAAAATCCTACAAAAATTAGAATACATGGTCTATATTTCAACTTAATAAAGGCTATCTATGAAAAACCAACAGCCAACATCATATTAAATGGACAAAAATTGAAAACCTTCATGTTAAAATCAGAAACAAGACAAGGATGCCCACTATTACCACTCCTCTTCTACATAGTACTGGAAACATTAGCCCTAGCAATTAGATAAGAGAACGAAATTAAAGCAATAAAGATAGGAAAGGAAGAAGTTAAACTGTCATTACTTGTTGATGATATGATACTCTACATTGAAGACCCAAAAAATTCCACCAAAATACTTCTAGACTTAATTATTAACACTTTT